AGTACATATGTACCCCTATCCCCCCTTTCCCAGTATAAATGTACCCCTCTCCCCCCTTTCCCAGTATGTATGTACCTCTCTCTCCCCTTTTCCCAGCAGAGATCAAAAGTTCAGTGCAGTGCCAGACCTGACTGCGTTGTTTGCCCAATGCTGTGCTGGGTGCGGGCGATAACGAGCCTGATTAATGACCTCACCTCCCTGCTGCTAACGAGTTGAACCGAGAGCTGCAGCGTCCGGGAATGCAGTGTGTGCTGGCAGGGGAGCAGAGGACGGAGTTGTTGGGACTGTGGGAGTCTGGGCTGCGTTTGGGGGGGGGTTAAAGTGTTTGGTGGGGTGAGGTGGGAGGGTCCTGACAGGTCAACCTGGGAGGGGTTGAGTTCAAAAGGTCCTTATAGGTTAACCAGGGAATGATTGGGTTGGAAGGGTCCCTACAGGTCAACCAGGGAATAGTTGGGGTGGGGTGGAAGGGTCCTTGCAGGACAGTCAGGGAAGGTCAACAACAGGGTTGAGTTGGAGGGGTCCTTACAGGTCAACCAGGGAATGGTTGGGGTGGGGTGGAAGGGTCCTTACAGTCAACCATGGAATCAGGGAATGGTTGAGTTGGAGGGGTCCTTGTAGGTCAACTATGGAGTGGTTGAGGTGGAAGGGTCCTTACAGGTCAACCATGAAGTGGTTGGGGTGGGGTGGAAGGGTCCTTGCAGGACAGTCAGGGAATGGTTGAGTTGGAAGGGTCCTTACAGGTCAACCATGGAACCAGGGAATGGTTGGGGTGGAGGGATCCTTCCAGGTCAACCATGGAGTGGTTGGGTAGAAGGGTCCTTACAGGTCATCTTTAGAAGCATAAGACCATAGAAATGGGGTTGAAGGAACATGGGTTCAGTGCTGGGGAGTGGGACCTGATGGCCTTTCCAGGTCCCCTCCACCCTGGCCCATTCTATGCTTTGCCAACCTCTCCATGTCATGCACTGCTTTGCATTTGGGTGTCAGGAAGGGAAATGATCAGAGTCCTTCCCAGGAGTTGGGCTCCATCCTCCTTACAGTTCCACTCTGACTCGGGATATCCTCTGAGTTGTGACACTTCCACATCTCCCCACCGTGAGGTTTCCCCCCAGATGTAATGAGTGTTGAATGACAGCACTGTTGCAGACCTGGAAGGGATGGATGGAGAGCTCAGGGGTTGACCATTGGAGATATGGGGTGCTGGAAGTGATTTTGTGGTTCTGTGAGGTTCCATGGTTCTGTGAGGTTCTGTGAGGTTCTGTGAGGGTGTGAGGTTCTGTGAGGTTCTGTGAGGTTCCATGGATCTCTGGTTCTGTGAGGTTCCATTGTTCTGTGAGGTTCCATGGTTCCGTGAGGTTCTGTGAGGTTCTGCGAGGTTCCGTGGTTCTGTGAGGTTCTGTGGTTCCATGGTTCTGTGAGGTTCTGTGAAGTTCTGAGAGATTCCATGGTTCTGTGGTTCTGTGAGGCTCTGTGAGGTTCTGTGGTTCCATAGCTTTGTGAGGTTCTGTGAGGTTCCATGGATCTCTGGTTCCATGGTTCTGTGAGGTTCCATGAGGTTCCATGGTTCCGTAGGTTCCATAGGTTCTGTGAGGTTCTGTGAGATTCTGTGAGGTTCCATGGATCTCTGGTTCCGTGGTTCTGTGAGGTTCCATGGTTCTGTGAGGTTCTGTGAGATTCTGTTAGGTTCCATGGATCTCTGGTTCCATGGTTCTGTGAGGTTCTGTGAGGTTCTGTGGTTCCGTGACCACAAAGCTCTACAGATTGGGCCATAGGGACGCTCTGTGCTGCTGCACAATGTGGTTTCCTCCCTGTGGGGCTTCTTACGGGGGTCTTTTTGGGGTGCATTGCTCTATACCTCCCTTACAGGACCCTTCCAACCCAACCCATTCCATGGGTCCCTGACCTTTAAGAACCCCTTCAACCCAACCCATTCTATTCTTCTATGATCTTTAAGGACCCTTCCGACCCAACCCATTTTATTCTTCTATGATCTTTAAGGACCCTTCCAACACAACCCATTCTACGCTTCTATGATCTTTAAGGACCCTTCCAACCCAACCCATTCTACGCTTCTATGATCTTTAAGGACCCTTCCAACCCATTCTACGGTTCTGTGATTTTTTTTTTAAGGACCCTTCCAACCTACTCTAAAGTTCTTTGACCTTTAAGGACCTTTCCAACCCATTCCATAGTTCTACAGCCTTCCAGGACCCCTCCAACCCAATCTTTTGACATTTCTACGACCTCCCAGAACCCGACCCCACTCATTAGCTTTCCCCCATCCCTCCCCACCCCCCGACCACACCGTCCCCGCGCCCACCCCCCCTCTCACTACCTTTTCCCCCCACCATCCAGGCCGGCGGCCATGAAGCACTGTTTTTACAACGAGTCGGTGGGTTTCTTCTACAACAACAGCCGGAAGGAGCTCACCACCTACTGGAGGACCAAAGATGTCCTGGTGGTGGCCCTGGGTCTCACCGTCAGCCTCATCGTCCTCCTCACCAACCTCCTGGTCATCGCCGCCATCATCATCAACCGTCGCTTCCATTACCCCATCTATTACCTCCTGGGCAACTTGGCAGCCGCCGACCTCTTTGCTGGCATTGCTTACATGTTCCTCATGTTCCACACGGGGCCGAGGACGGCCGAGCTCTCCCTGAAGACCTGGTTTATCCGGCAGAGCCTCCTGGACACCAGTCTGACCGCTTCGGTGGTCAACCTCTTGGCCATCGCGGTGGAGAGGCACCAGACGGTGCTGACCATGCAGCTGCACAGCAAGATGTCCAACCAACGCGTCATGATCCTGATCTTCTGCATCTGGGCCACGGCTCTGCTGCTGGGGTTGATCCCATCCTACGGTTGGCACTGCCTTTGTGCCCTGGAGGAGTGCTCCAGCATGGCCCCGCTCTACAGCCGCAGCTACCTGACCTTCTGGGCCATCTCCAACCTCCTCGTCTTCCTCCTCATGGCGGTGGTCTACGCCCACATCTTCATCTACGTCAAGAGGAAGATGGGGAGGATGTCGGCGCACACCTCCTTCCACCCACGCTACAGGGAGACCGTGGTCGGCCTCGTCAAGACGGTCACCATCATCCTCGGTGAGTTGGGGGGGGGTCAAGGCTCACTGACATTCCCTCCGGGGTTATGGGGCTGTTCCGGCACTCCCTCCTTTCCCTGAGAAGCTGTGGGGTCACTACAGCATTCCCTTAGGGGTTGGGGTCACTGCAGTCTTCCCTTGGGGGTTGTGGGGTCATTACAGTGTTCCCTCTGTACCCCAGGACTTGGGGGTCACTACAGAGTTCCCTTGGGGGCTTGGGGTCACTACAGCATTCTATCCTTCCCCCCAGGAGTTATGGGGTCACTACAGAGCTCCTCTGGGGGCTTGAGGTCACTACAGGGTTCTTTCCTTTACTCCAAGGGTTATGGGGTCACAACAGATTTCCTTTGGGGGCTTGGGGTCACTACAGCGTTCTTTCCTTCCCCCCAAGGGTCATGGGGTCACTACAGAGCTCCTTTGGGGGCTTGGGGTCACTACAGGGTTCTTTCCTTCACTCCAGGGGTTACGGGGTCACAACAGAGTTCCTTTGGGGGCTTGGGGTCACTACAGCGTTCTTTCCTTCCCCCCAGGGGTTATGGGGTCACTACAGAGCTCCCTCCTTCCCCACAGGGGTTGTGGTGTAGCTACAGTGTTCCCTTGGGGGTTGTGGGGTCACTTCCGCACCCCCCCCTGTACTCTAGGGGTTACGGGGTCACTACAGTGTCCCCTGCTTTCCCCCCAGGAGTTGTGGGGTCACAACAGCATTTTCTCAGGGGTTGGGGGTCACTACAGTGCTCCCTCCATCCCCCGTGGGTTGTAGGGAGGAGATCTGCTGAGGAGCGAACCCACAGATCTATGGGGGCAGGAAGGGATCTGCTGATGAGCGAACCCACAGACCTATGGGCTCAGAAGGGATCTGCTGAGTAGCAAACCCACAGATCTATGGGGTGGGAAGGGATCCAAGGAAGCCATGTTTCCCCCTTTCACTCTTGTCCCCCACCCTAAAACTCCACAATTCTACCATATATCCCTATGGGGAGTGGGGCAGGAAGCCATATCTTCCCCATTTCACTTTTCCCTCACCCTAAAACACAGCGATCCCATCGCACATCCCTATTGGGTGCACCCAGATAAGGCCACATTTCCCCATTTCACTCCTTTCCCCCACCCTAAAACACCACAGTCCCATCAATCACCCCTATGGGCAGTGCCTGGGTGAATCCTGATGCCGTTTTTCCCCATTCACCTCTTTTCCCCAAACCTAAAACCCTTTGATTCCACCCAACACCCCAAGGGAAGCCCAAGGGTTGGGGTAGGAGCCCACCTTTCCTCTAACGGGGGTCCATCTCTCTCTGCAGGTGCCTTCTTGATCTGTTGGACCCCCGGGCAGGTGGTGCTGCTGTTGGACGGGTTGGGTTGTAAGAGTTGCAACGTTTTGGCCGTGGAGAAATACGTCCTCCTGTTGGCTGAGATCAACTCATTGATCAACGCCATCGTTTACTCCTATCGGGACAACGAGATGAGGAGCACCTTCCGGAGGATCCTCTGCTCCATCTGCTATCGGAACCCCAAATACACCCCCACGGCTGTGAAACCCAACGGGGCTGACCGTGGGTCTCTGTCACTGAACGGGCACTTCACGGTGGATTCCTCCATTTGAGACGTTGGCTGTGCTCGTTTTCTGACCCTGGGAACGGAGGGGAATCCCTCCAAGTGGGAGACATTGCACTGTGGGGTGAGGATCCCCATAAACACCCCCTCAAAGGATGCTTTTATAAGGGACCACCACGCGGTTTGTTCATTAGCGTGCTTAATTAAAGGCTGTTTCTAAAGCTGTGTTGATTTCTATGGGTGAGCTGCAGCTCTCTGTATTATTTTGTGTGTGTGTGTGGGGGGGGGGGTTCTGCAGTACCTTCAGAATCAGCTCTTCCAATGGTTGTGTGCCCCCCAAAACCCCAAATCTTCACTTCAACCCATTGCAGAGTGATTCCCAAAGTGACCCAAATTGTGTTCCATCCTCTCCGGGAGAAGAATGGATTTTTCTCAATGTCTCTTTGGGGAGGAACGTTCTGGAATCCCACCTGGAGCAGTGGATTCCCCCTCTCTGAGTGTCTGTTCTGGAATTTGAGAGCACTGTGGGGTTTTTTGGGGGGGCACTTTGCTCCTAAAATGACAGCGGTGCTGTCGTGTTTGTGTTCTGCTCAGTGATGCCACGAGCCATTCACAAATCCAGGGCCAACTCATAAATGTGTGATGAGTTTTCAGCAATGCCATGAGCCATTCATAACTTCAGTGCCCATTCATAAATGTGGGATATGTTCTTCTCGATGTTGAGGAGATCATGATTGCAGGCAGATGCTGTTGGCAATCCAATATTCAGGACCAAGGAACAGTAAATAGGTTTCTCCCCTCTTTCCCCTACCAAATTTGTAAGCATGAATGCGAGTCAGCCCAAACTCTGAAGTCAGTGAAGAGCTTTTGGGAGCACAGAGGTGAACAGGAGGCAGATTTGTTTTGGGGTGGAGGGGATATTTTGTGTTTGAGGCTTCATTGGGGAGTTTTGGGAGCTGATTTGGCAGAGAAGACATCTTCCAGGAGGGACTGTCACTGAAATGTGTGCATGGAATTTCTGGCAGAACGTGGGCAGGAAAACAACAGTGTTCAGCTGACAACTCATGGATTGACCAAAACAGTCCCAGAATGCAGTTCCCATCTTTGTGTCCTGGAGAATTTGGGGATAAATGCTTTGTCCTGGGGTTTTACAAATGAGATTTGGGTTTTTTTTCCCTGTGTCCTCAAAATCTGAAGCTCTGGAGTGTTGTCAGTGTTGTGTTGTGATGTTGGGAGGGATGGATGGAGGGATGGAGGGATGGATGGAGGGATGGAAGGAAGGATGGAAGGAAGGAGGAATGGAAGAAGGGATGGATGGGGGGATGAAGGGAGGGATGGAGGGATGGAGGGAGGGATGCAAAGAAGGAGGAATGGATGGAGGGATCTAAGGAGGGATGGATGGAGGAATGGATGGATGGAGGGATGGATGGATGGAAGGAAGGAGGGATGGATGGAGGGATGAATGGATGGAAGGAAGGAGGGGTGGATGGAGGGATGGATGGATGGATGGAAGGAGGGATGAATATTGACCTTGATGCTTGCATCCATTGCAATTTGCTGCTCTGCATTTGAGGCAGATTGCTGGAGTGTCTCTGTGAGTACCCCGGAGGGATTATGACCTCCAGAAAGAGATTAGGAAGAGATTCCATTATTCCCATCCCATAATCTTAAGAGACTTTTCAAACACTGCCACCAATCTTTTGATGCCTTTTAAATCCCTGCAGGGTTTGCTCTATCAGCTCAGTCCATATAGATGATGAGAGTCACTGGATCACAGGATGGGTTGGGGTGGAGGGAACCCAAAAAGACCATTGGGTCCCACACAGTTCCTTCAAGCCCATTTCTATGATCTTGTGGTTCTAAAGGTGATCTTCAAGGACCCTCCCAGCCCTGGATCCTTTATCAATCCTCTGATCTCTCATCAATCCCATGGCTCTTCATCAATCTTCTGACCCCTTATCAATCCCTCGATCCCTTATCAATCCTCTGATCCCTTATCAATTCCTTGATCTCTTATCAATCTCTCGATCCTTCATAAATCCCTTGATCTCCTATCGATCCCTTTGCCCCTCATCAATCTTTTGGCACCCTTATCAATCCCTTGATCTCCTATCAATCCCTCTGCCCCTTATCGATCACTTGGGGTCCTTTCCATCCCGACCCCTTAAACCTCCAAACACCATCAGCACGTTGGCGATGCAGGAGTTCCCTCCCGCCGTCCCTCGCAGAACCCCCTGCGACTCCCCCCCACCAACTCCCCCCTCCCAGCGCCGTTATGACGTCATGCGCGGGCGTACCCCGAAGCGGTGGGCGTGGCCAGAAAGTGGGCGTGGCTTTCGAGACGGGCGCGTCCAGCAGAGTCGTGGGCGTGGCTTTTTTGCCGGTGATGGGCGTGGTTAATAAGTGGGCGTGGCCTGGCGGCGGGAGCTCCTCGGCTTTGTGGGCGTGGCCAGGCGGGGGCGTGGCGTGGGGACGTAGGCGTGGCCTGGAGGTGGGAGTGAACGGAGAGGTGGGCGTGGCTTGGGGGTTGTAGGCGTGGTCTGGGTGGTGGGCGTGGTCTGAGAGGGTGGGAGTGGACTGGGAAGTGGGCGTGGCCTGGGCGGTGGGCGTGGCTTCGGGGCCCTGTTGTCTGCGCTCCCCCATCGGCGGCCATGGAGGACCCTTCGCGGTTGATGGCACCGCACGGAGCCGGGGTTGCCCTTCAGGGTGGTCTCCCCCCTGGGGGTCCCGCTGCCCCAACCGCTACTTCGGGGGATCCGAGCTCTGTGCCCCCCCCGGCCCCTCCCCCTCACGATACGGGCGACGTTCTGCAGCAGATTATGGCCATCACCGATCAGAGCTTGGATGAGGCCCAGGCGAGGTAACGGGGGTCCCGTTCTGCCCGATAGAGGCAGCTGTGGGGTGGGGGGGTGGCGGCTGTGGGGATGGACCCCCCCATCCCCTCCCATCGCCGTACCACGGGACCCCTTATGTGGGGCTGTTCTGGGGATGTGGGGCGGTTCGGTACCGGTTCGGTGCTCCTGCAGCCCCGTGTCGTGATTCAGCTGTGTTTTATCGGGACTGTCACGATAGGGGAGTGTGGGATGAGAACTGGGGGCTGTGGGGCTGGACCTGCCCCCTTTCTGGGCCATGGTACAGCAATGGGACCCCTATGTGGGGCTGTTCTGGGGATATGGGGTGGTTCGGTGCTCCTGCAGCCTTATGTCGTGATTCAGCCGTGTTTTATCAGGACTATTGCAATAGGGTGATGGGGAGACAGGGGGCTGTGAGGCTGGACCCCCCCCCCTTTTTTAAGACACGGCGCTGTGGTGGGAGTTTGGGTTGTGGATGTCAGTGCCGATTCTGTGCTCCTGCAGCCCTGTGTCATGATTCAGCTGTGTTTTATTGGGACTGTCACGATAGGGGACTGTGGGATAACAACTGGGGGCTGTGGGGCTGGACCTGCCCCCCCCCGGGCCATGGCACAGCGGTTGGAGTTTGGGTCAGGGATATGGGGTGGTTTGGTATTGGTTCGGTGCTCCTGCAGCCCTGTGTCGTGATTCAGCTGTGTTTTATCGGGGCTGTCACGATAGGGGACAGTGGGATAAGAACTGGGGGCTGGGCCCCCCCCCTGGGCCATGGTACAGCGGTTGGAGTTTGGGTCAGGGATATGGGGTGGTTTGGTATTGGTTCGGTGCTCCTGAAGCCCTGTGTTGTGACTCAGCTGTGTTCTGTCAGAACTATCGCGATAGGGTGATGGGGAGATGGATGCTGTGGAGCTTGACCTCTACTCTGGGCCTTGATGGGGGTTTGATTTGGGGTTTTGGGGCAATTCAATGCTGGTTCTGTGTTCCTACAGCCCAATGCTGTGACTCAGCTGTGTTCTGTCGGGGCTGTCACGATAGGGTGGGGTTGCTCAGCTGTGTTCTGTCAGGACTGTTGCGATAGGGTGGGAGTTACTCAGTTGTGTTCTGGCGGGGCTGTCACAATAGGGTGGGGGTTGCTCAGCTGTGTTCTGTCAGGACTGTCATGATAGGGTGAGGGTTACTCAGTTGTTTTCTGTCGGGACTGTCGCGATAAGAGTGGCCCCATGGTCTGGCTTGGGATATCCTTTGGTTCCATATTGGTTCTAGCTTTGTCCTATATAGTTGTTAACCGTTCCAGGTCGATTCCAGCTGTGTTCTGTATGATTTTGAACCATGTCCTATATAGTTTCCAGCTGTGTTCCAGGTCGGTTCTGGCTGTGTTCTATATTGGTTCTGGCTGTGTCCTATATAGCTTTCAGCTCTGTTCCAGGTCGGTTCTGGCTGTGTTCTGTATGGTTTGGATCCGTGTCATATATTGGTTCCAGCTGTGTTCCAGGTCGGTTCCAGCTGTGTTCTGTATGATTTTGAACCGTGTCCTATATAATTTCCAGCTGTGTTCCAGGTCGGTTCCGGCTGTGTTCTGTATGGTTTGGATCCGTGTCATATATTGGTTCCAGCTGTGTTCCTGGTTGGTTTCAGGCTGTGTTCTGTATTGGTTCTGTGTCCTGTATGGTTTCCAGCTGTGTTCCAGGTTGGTTCCAGCTGTTTTTCATGTTGGTTCTAGCTGTGCTCTGTATGGTTTGGATCCATGTCATATATTGGTTCCAGCTGTGTTCCTGGTTGTTTTTGGCTGTGTTCTGTATTGGTTCTGTGTCCTGTATGATTTCCATGTTGGTTCCAGCTGTGTTCCAGGTTGTTTCTGGCTGTGTTCCATATTGGCTCTAGCTCTGTTCTGTATTGAATCTAGCTGTGTCCTATAAGGTCTTGGTCTGTGTCCCATATTGATTCCAGCTGTGTTCCAGGTTGATTCCAGCTGTTTTTCATGTTGGTTCTAACTGTGCTCTGTATGGTTTGGATCCATGTCATATATTGGTTCCAGCTGTGTTCCAGGTTGTTTCTGGCTGTGTTCCATATTGGTTCTAGCTCTGTTCTGTATTGAATCTAGCCGTGTCCTATAAGGTCTTGGTCTGTATTGATTCCATCTGTGTTCCAGGTTGCTTTCATGCTGTGTGCTGTATTTGGTTCCAGCTGTGCTCCAGGTTGGTTCCAGCTGTGTCCTGTATGGTTTCAGGCTGTGTCCTCCATAGTTTCCAGCTGTGTTCCAGGTTGTTTCTGGCTGTGTTCTGTATTGGTTCTGTGTCCTTCATAGTTTCCAGCTGTTTTCCATGTTGGTTCCAGCTGTGTTCCAGGTTTTTCTGGCTGTGTTCCATATTGGCTCTAGCTCTGTTCCTACTGAATCTAGCTGTGTCCTATAAGGTCTTGGTCTGTGTCCTGTATAGGTTCCAGCTGTGTCCTATATTGATTCCAGCTGTGTTCCAGGTTGGTTCTGGCTGTGTCCTGTATGGCCTTGGTTTGTGTCCTGTATGGTACCCAGCTGTGTTCCAGGTTGGTTTCAGCTGTGTCCCATATTGATTCCAGCTGTGCTCCAGGTCAGTTCCAGCTGTGTCCCATATTAATTCCAGCTGTGCGCCAGGTCAGTTCCAGCTGTGTCCCATATTGATTCCAGCTGTGCTCCAGGTCAGTTCCAGCTGTGCTCCAGGTCAGTTCCAGCTGTGTCCCATATTAATTCCAGCTGTGTCCCATATTAATTCCAGCTGTGCTCCAGGTTGTTTTCCTGCTGTGTCTTTTATAGTTCCCAGCCGTGTTCCACGTGGTTTCCAGCTGTGCCCTGATCAGTTTGTTCTGGGTTGTGTTCTAGGTTGTGTTCTGGGTTATTCCTCCTCTTTTGGTTTGCCCTGCAGCAAAACTAAGTGTTTTTTCCTCCTTTTTGTACAGAATTTCTGCTTTTTTTTTGCTCCAGGAAACACGCCCTGAACTGCCACAGGATGAAGCCTGCTCTGTTCAGCGTGCTCTGCGAGATCAAGGAGAAAACAGGTGAGTTGCTGTCACTTCTACTCCTAATTTTCCCCCAAAACACCACTTTCCCCCCCAAAAAATACCATCCCACCATCAGTTTTGCTCTTGTTCACCTCAGCCCAGGTTTTCCCAGTGGTTTCTATGACTTCTGCTGCTTTTCATGGCGCCTTATTGGTGCTTATTTGGAAGTCCTGCATTCCTATATGTGAATGGGGTCCTGTGAATATGGTCAAATATTCGTGTATGTATGATTGGGGCCCTGCAAATATGGTCATATCTTCATATATATGGACACAGTCCTATGAATATGGTCAAATATTTCTATATATATGAGTGTGGTCCTATGAATATGGTTATATCTTCATATATATATGAATGGGGTCTGTGAATTATGGTCTTATTTTTATATATATATGAATGTGGTCCTACAAATATGGTCATATCTTCATATGGATGAACGTGGCCCTATAAATACAGTCCTGTACTCCTATATGTGAATGTGGTCCTACAAATTTGGTCCTATATTCATATATATATGAATGGGAATCTGTGAATTATGGTCTTAGTTTTATATATATATGAGTGTGGCCCTACAAATATGGTCATATCTTCATATATATGGACACAGTCCTATGAATATGGTCAAGTATTTGTATATATATGAGTGTGGCCCTACAAATATGGTCTTATCTTCATATATATGGACACAGTCCTATGAATATGGTCAAGTATTTGTATATATATGAGTGTGGCCCTATAAATATGGTCATATCTTCATATAGATGAATGTGGCCCTATAAATAATGTCCTATATTCCTATATGTGAATGTGGCCCTACAGATATGGTCATATCTTCATATATATGGACACAGTTCTATGAATATGGTCAAATATTTGTATATATATGAGTGTGGCCCTACAAATATGGTCATATATTCACATATATGAGTATGGCCCTACAGATACAATCTGCTCTCCCTCTATGATGTGATTCTTTGTCCCCTCCAGGCTCGTACGTTTTGGTACCCATCCCCAAAAGGAAAAAAAAAAAAAAAGGCAAAACAACACACCCACATCTTAATTAATATTAATTAGGATGGCGTAGGGAACCCGACCTATGGATTAAAGATACTACAGAATTGGGGCCTGGTGGGAGATGGGGGGGCTGGGGGGGGCTCTGTGGGGGTCTCTGGGGGTTTGAATGTTGAATCAGACGTGGTTTCCTCCTCTCCCCCTCCCCCTCCCAGCCCTCATTTTTCATTCATTCTTTGTTGCTCTCAGTCACAACGGGATACGAAGTCCTAAGCAGCTCTGCCCAGGAGCAGAACATGAACACAATTACAAACCCATTCTTTTCCCTGTTTTGTTTTTTCCCCCATTTTTTTCACTTGTTTAGGTTCTTTTTTTCCCCCATTTTTCCCTGTTTTTGTTTTTTTTTTTCTTTTTTTTTCCCCTCTGTGTTTTTTTCCCCCATTTTTTCCTGTGTGGTTTTTTTCCCCCTCATTTTTCCTATTTTTTTTTTTCTTGTATATACCTTTTTTTTCCCTGTACGTTTTCACCTCTAAAAAACATTATTTCTAATTTTTCATTATTATTATTATTTAAAACTATTCAGTAATGGGCTGGATGTCTGACGGAGCTGCGTTCAGTGTGGGAGTGGGACTTGGTGGTCTTCAAAAGGAGACTTTGAACTCAAACTGTGCTCTGATTCTGTGACCTTAATCCATAGGACCGGGGAATGGTTGGGTTGGAAAGGTCCTTGCAGGTCAACTGTGGAGTGGTTGGGCTGGAAGGGTCCTTACAGGTCATCCAGGAAATGGTTGGGATGGAAGGGTCCTTCCAGGTCTGTTCTGGAGTGGTTGGGTTGGAAGGGTCCTTCCAGGTCAACTGTGGAGTGGTTGGGTTGGAAGGGTCCTTACAGGTCAGTTGTGGAGTGATTGGGTTGGAAGGGTCCTTACAGGTCAACTGTGGAGTGGTTGGGCTGGAAGGGTCCTTACAGGGTAACTGTGGAGTGGTTGGGTTGGAAGGGTCCTTTCAGGTCAATTGTCGAGTGGTTGGGATGGAAGGGTCCTTTCAGGTCAATTGTCGAGTGGTTGGGTTGGACAGGTCCTTCCAGGTCAACCACGGAATGATCCTATATTCTGTAGGTGGGCACGGTGAGGATGGGTCAGTGGTTGGACTTACAATCTTCGAGGTCTTTTCCAACCCTAACGATCCTATGATTCCAAAATCCCACCCCAACACTCAATCCCAAGATCTGACCCCCAAATCCAGCCCCAAAACCCAACCCCAAAACAGGTTTGACGGTCAGACTTGATGATCCTGGAGCTCTTTTCCAACCTCAATGATTCTATGCTTCTATTGCCCCCAAGGATATACTTTGAGTTGGTATAAAAGTCAGCTCTCCTTTCACCTGACAGTTCCAATGCTCGAATCAGAGCCATCAGCTCAACATTCACAGCCAACATACTGGCTGGCAAAGTTTGAGCCTTCTTTTGGGGTTATAGTGGTATTTTCCATTCCCTTGAACTACTCCATCAGTGAGCAGCTCCCATTCATGATTTCCCAGGAGGGATCTGTTGGATCTGGGTATGCCAATCTGTTTGGATCAACATTGGTGATACCGTCTGGAAAAACATCCCTGCGTTCTCTGTGGGTGTTCTGTACTTAGGATGGTACAAATGGTTCAATTCTGGCCCTAAAATGCACACCTACAAAGGTGAAGCCAACAAATGTTCATTCACTGGGTGCATTCGTGTTGCTTTTCTGCATTATTTGCTCCACGAAAGAAAATCTGCAAAGGGGGGGAAAGCAACAACAACAACAATCAACAAAACTCACAGCCAAGTGTGCACCACTTATTTTGGTACCTCTAACCTCATTACAGAACCACAAACCTCTTAATTAATGACATGCAAAATATATGGCCGTGATTGCATTTGCATACTGAGGCTTCAACACCTTAGGCTGCGTTGCGGTTTAATTAAGGATTAATTAGAAACGACGGGAATTTCATGTCACTTAGGGTAATGGTTTTGCATATTTGACAGATATCAGTAGGGGATGTGCAGGAAAACAGGGAATTTGTGTTTTCTTGTGTGTAAAGAGAACCAGTGAGTTTTATGGTCTGTGAGTTTCCTTAGTTGTGATGAACTTACTGGGATGAGCTACGGGGTGGAAAGTGCAACTCATTAATGCTAATTAACTCCTCTCTAGTTTCTTGCTAGCCCCAGCCAACCAGATTCTTCCCTTGAGGTTGTGGGGGTGCTTTATTCAGCAGTTGACTTGAGATGAGCTGATGCGTAATTGATGATAACGAATGTCTAATTACCATCATTAGACGGGTGATATAAAATTAAGCTGCAGCTGGGAGCTCAGCTCCAACACGAGGTGTGCTGATGTGCATCACGATGTGCGTAAGGAGATGGGAACCCAAACATCTCTTCCACTGCACCAATGCTTCCCAGCCCCAATAGTTTCACGTGAGCTTTGTCAGTGAGGAGTGTTCTTCTGGGGGGGCTTTGGGGTCCCTTCCAACCCAACTGTGCTGTGCTTCTGTGATCTTTAAGGACCTTTCTAACCCAACCTCATTCTACGGTTCTGTAATCTTTAAGGACCTTTCTAACCCAACCCAACCTCATTCTACGGTTCTGTAATCTTTAAGGACCTTCTTTCCAATCCATTCTATGGTTCTGTGATCTTCAAGGACTCTTCCAACCCAACCCATTGTATGGTTCTGTGATCTTTGAGGACCCTTCCAACCCAACCCCATGCCACGGGTCTGTTATCTTTAAGGACCCTTCCAACCCAACCCGTTCTATGATTCTGTGGTCTTTAAGGTTCCTTTCAACCCAACCTCATTCTACGGTTCTTTGATTTTAAGGACCCTTCCAACCCAACCCAACCCAACCCCATTCCATGACTTATTATTTTTTATCTTTAAGGTTCCTTCTAACCCAACCCATTCTCTGGTTCTGTGATCTTTACAGACCCTTCCAACCCAACCCAACCCCAATCCTAGTTCTGTGATCTTTAAGCACCCATCCAACCCAACCCATTCAGTCCTCCCACAGTTCTGTGTTGTCAGATGGCATTAGAATCTCCCTTTGGTCACTTTGGATTGGATGTACATCGTTGTGTTGTCAACACAGATTTCCTTCTGAATCCCATCCGCTGCTCATTAAATTGCCTCACAGTTAAAATCCAATTAAAAGCCAGAAATCTCCTCGTGTTTCTCGAACTGACTCAGTGTGTTTTGAGTTTTTTTTGTTTGTTTGTTCGTTTGTTTTTAAGGAATTAACAATAAACTGTCAAAAACTGGGATTTAAATATTCTGAATCAGATTTGCTTGGAATCAAACACGGGCGATCTGAGCGCGGATCTTGTTGCGTGTCGGCGTAGAGGAAAATGGATTTGGGTCTGATTTCATCAGATTGTTTCAGGTTTTGAGGTTTTAATAAGGCAAAACATGGCAATGTCAATGCTTAGGGGTGGTGTGGGCTGGTGGTGGTGATGGTGTAGGGTGGTGGTGGTGACGGTGTAGGCTGTTGGTGTGGCCTTTTGCTGGAGCAGTGTGGTCTATCACTGGTGATGGTGTAGCCTCTGCCTGGCAGTGATGTAGTTGTACCCTTGGCACACCAGGCACCCTAAGTCAAGCAGCCCTCAGGTATGGATTTCAGCACGATCCCACATCTGCATGGTGTCCTTTTCAGTCCCCAGGCACAGAAATACAGCAGTTGTAGCAGCTCAGGGATCTCATCCACCTCCCATAGTCTGTCTTTGACCTTTAAGGACCCTTCCAACCCAACCCAACCCAACCCCATTCCATGATTATTATTATTTTTTTAAATCTTTAAGGTGTTCCCCATTTCTCCCTCTGATCCACGTTTCCTCTATACATACTGCACCATACCATTCATTAAACTCTCCTTCTTTCCTCGACCTGGAGATAGAAATCTACTAAAAACCAGCTCTTTAAACGCTCCACCATTGAAGCAGGCGCTCTTCCCCGTCCCGGAAATAACCTTTTGATTCCCTCTTTATATCTACCCAGTGTTAAGTATTCGTGGTATTCAGGAAGAAGACCCCCCCGATGCCCAACTAATGAGACTAGATAACATGTTGCTGGCGGAGGGCGTCTCCGGCCCCGAGAAAAGAGGAAGAGGAGCACCGATGGCTGTAGCAGCAACACCAGGTGGCTGTCCAAATGACAATAGCATTGAGCACTCTGACTACAGGGCCAAGCTGTCACAGATCCGACAGATTTACCACTCTGAGCTAGAGAAATATGAACAGGTGATCTTTCTGCATGGAAGAGTTTTTATCATCTCAATTGAAAATAACCCCCTTTTTTTTTTTTTTTTTTTTTTTTTCCCTTCGGTGTTGGTTTTAAGGATGGAACAGGAGGTATAAATGAGTTCAGTTCAACGCGAGGTTGTCACATTTGTTTGAGAGCTTATCTCAGTGTTGCAGGAATAAGATGGAATAGAGGGACTGGACATCAAAGTAAAGATGATATTCTTTAGGTGGAATAGAGGGACTGGACGTCAAAGTAAAGATGATATTCGTTACCTCAGCGTTACAGAATGAAGGTGGAATAGAGGGACTGGACATCAAGCTAAAGATAATTAAATGTCTCGTTTATCTTTGTTACAGTATTTTTAAGGGTAAACACGGAAAAAGCTGAAACGTGAAAAAGTCCTCTGTTGTTTTTGGGGTTTTTTTGGGTTTTTTTGGGGTTGGTTTTTTTTTTTTTGGATATGTATTCTTGTTGGGGGAATTAATTTGGGGGGTGTTTTATCGTTTCTCGATACAAATATCTTTATCTTCAGGCCTGCAGCGAGTTCACCACCCACGTCATGAACCTGCTGAGGGAACAGAGCCGGACGAGACCCATTTCTCCCAAAGAAATCGAGCGGATGGTGAACATCATCCACGGCAAATTCAGCACCATCCAGATGCAGCTGAAGCAGAGCACGTGCGAGGCGGTGATGATCCTCCGCTCACGCTTCCTTGATGCAAGGTACGATGAAAAGAGGCAACGGGTGCTTAAAACCCGGGCTTCATTCGTTGCTCAGTGCCAATAATCGCGTGGGAATCCTCATTCCCATTGCTGTCAGTCTCAGAATTAACATCTGATGGGTTGTCATACGCGCCGAGCCTACTTACCTTGACATAAATGTATTAAAGCTGCGTGGAATTAAATATATTCTTCCTCAAAGGGTAGAAATACATTCTTCCTCAAAGCAGATATACTTTAGAGGAGGCCCACGGCGGTGCAAATAGGGATAATTGTGGTTTTCCACAGGCGTAAGCGGCGTAACTTCAGCAAGCAGGCAACAGAAGTGCTGAATGAGTATTTCTATTCGCATCTGAGCAATCCTTACCCCAGCGAAGAGGCCAAAGAGGAGCTGGCAAAGAAGGGTGGCATCACCGTTTCGCAGGTAGGAAGCGGTTGATCTGGAGTTACTGTTTCTTTCCTTGAGCCGTTAAGGTTGGAAAAGACCATGAAGATGGGCTGAGCGATTGTTAAGGGTCCCAGTGATTCAGTGGTTCCGTGAAAACTAGCCTGGATTCGTCTAGGAAATGCCGTTTGAGCAAAACAGTCGCCCAGTCGTGAGCAAATTGAGCTTTAGGGGCACAAAAACAAGTGAGTTAAGGGGAACCCAGAGCGATGTTCCATAAGTCAGGGGCTGACGGATGGAAAACTGTTCTCAGTCAGATGAAGGCACAAAGAAATGCGAGGAAAAATGGGAATAACCTACAGACAGACAACGTCAAGGACAGCTGGGAGGGGAACAGCGATGGCTTGGTAACAGATGAACGTGAGAGTGGATCTCAGACCATATAAACACACCTGAGTTCTGCTGGCTTGTCCCCTATAGGTGGTAACAGTTTTCAGTTGGTGGTATTAAAAGAAAACAAAGAACATTTCTGTTGTTCCAAAGGGTTTTTCTGCTTGAACCCTACTATAAAACGTTATTTTTGCTGCTAAGTTGTCAACGTAACGGATAATGGAATGGTTTGAATGGTAACAGGGCTGTAAATCTCCAGGTTTCCAACTGGTTTGGTAACAAAAGAATTCGGTACAAGAAGAACATGGGGAAGTTCCAAGAAGAAGCCAACATTTACGCTGCGAAAACAGCAGTGGATGCAACCAATGTTGTGGCTCAGGGCAACCGGGCAAACTCCCCATCGACACCAAATTCAGGTAAGGGAGAGAGCTTTGGAAGCCTCCAGTTCCTTCTCGTGACGATGAGTGCCATGAATGGTTGGAAATGCTCACAGGATTAA